GGGAACAGACAAGTTGCTGTTGTTTTGTTCTTCAGTCTAGTTGTGGAGGACGTTGCTTCACTGGCCCAAGCTGGCACCATCATTGCGCTCTTCCCAGGTGAGGCGGATCAGTCGTGGGCCTCTGGACTGCCGCTCACAGCAGCTGCTGGCCGCTCACGCTGGCTGCCGGCTACACATGGTAGCCTACAGCAGCCTACTTCCTCTGCCCATTTTTAAATTAAATTGTTCATTTGCTTGTTTTGCTATTGAGTTGTATAAGTTCTCTATATTTTGGATTTTAACGTTTTCTCAGATATATAATTTGCAAATATTTTCTCCCATTTTTTATGTTGCCTTTTCATTTTGTTGATGTACCTGGCTCTTTCTGAAATACACAACCACTGTGTCCCCTTGCTGTTGCTTCTTTTCTCTGCTTACCCCCACATGCCCCCTTACTTCATCTTTACTGCCTTTCACAACCCTTCCAACTAACTGGACAACGGAGATTTTAACTATCTCCTACTTTCTAGGAAAAGGAATTTTGAGTCTTTGTTTTTCTATTTTTGTTGTTTGGGGCTGATTTCAACAAAGGGGGGAAAAGAAATTCTACCTTTATACCACTATGTTCAAACCAGAAATAAAAGTTCTTGGGCTTTTGAGTCAGACAGACCTGGATTTGCATCTTGACTCCACTACTTGTTGTGTTCCTTTGGGCAAGGTATTTAATCTTTTTGCTCCTGAATTTCCTAATCTCTAAAATGGGGGGCTCTAAATGACCATCTCTAAGAGGACTATTAGGAGAGTTAAATGAGGTGATGTTTGTAAATCTCTCAGGACAATGCTTGACACCTGATAGGTGCTCAATAAATAGTATTGCTATTAGTGTCACTGCCACAGATTGGCCATCAGAAAGCTCTCTTTAACTCCTACCCTGCTGTTATTTGGGGAAAATATCCTCCTCAATTAATATAATCACCTGGAAGAGATTAGTTTCCAAAATTGTGTTTTGCGGAACACTACTCAAGAAATAATTCTTAGGTATAACTCAAAAACAAAAGGAGGGGGTGATTTCATGGATAAATACACCTACGAAACATCATGTACCATAATCTACCCTTTCAAAGAGGCACATACCTCTATGATGGTGTTGGAATAGGTCCCATCATGGAGGAATGTAAATACGCATTATCGTATGAGCACTGAGATTGTTCTGACGCATTTAAGGGAGTGAGCCCCAGCCACACATGCAGGTAAATATCTCGAATGAAGATAAAGGAATTGATGACCCTCCTCCTACAGAGAGAAACTGCAGGACCTTAATCATTAAGTCTGGGAGTCCTGGGATAACAAACGGAGCTGCTATTCAGAAATGCTCTCATTTCTTTGTTATTCTGGTAAGCACAACACTGCCCACATGCTGGGCACTGCTCTAAGTGCCTTCACATACACTGATTCATTGGGTCTACAACTGTGTGAAAAGGTTATTGATTCCCCCTTGCAGATGAGGAAAAAATTCTTTTCCAAAGGATGAGGAAACTGTTTCCCTCCTGATAATAAGGACCTCGATGAGGAGAGTAGTTGAAAGAAGAATGTTTCCTTTGTAGTATGGGTGTAAACGTTATTGGTTGAATTTAATGTATTCACTAGTAAAGGAACTAGTATATGCAGTTCACAAGTGGTGTAATATTGAAAGAGAAAAATCCTGTAAGAAGAACCTTGGACCCACTGACTTTGAGATCTAGCAACCCCAGCTCCCTATCACTTTATGCTTTGCAATAAGGACAAGGGGTATCACCGGCCACATGTTACAGCTGTGTGTGTGTGTGTGTGTGTGTGTGTGTGTGTGTGTGTGTGTCAGTGTCACCACAGTGCTTGAGACTAGACACCTGTGAAAGGGAAGGACAGGAAGCAGGATTGGATAAAGGGAGAAGTTGAATTGTGACACAGACCCAGAAAAAGATTTCAGAGGGAAGATCTGAATCTGAAATGGTCCTGCAGAGTTGTCTCAGGTTGGAGTGAGGGGTTTGGGCCTTTACACGCCTATTTTGCTCAGTCACTGAATGTGGGATACACCAGGAAAGAGGTTGACTTCGGGTAAGTCAGTTTTTATTAATCAAAGGCAGTCATCAATGAGAACTGACAGTCGAGAGCTATCTTGTGGCTGCATTTCTAGGAGCTGGGAGGCTAAGTCCTTCATTCCATGGGGGGACCCAGGTGACACATTGCAGCATCCACTACAGAGTGCATTTTGAGACAGGGAAGTTTTTATGCAGAAGTAAACCACTCCAGGAGTGAACGCCCTTCCTGTGGTTAAAGCCTGAAGAATAGAGCTTTTAGAGTTTGGGGCAAACATGTTTCAAAGAAGGAGCTACTTGGAGAAAAGCACATCTCCATCAACATTTGGTATTATCTTTTAGATAATGGTCATCCTAATGGGTGTGAAGTGATATCTCATTGTGGTTTTGATTTGCATTTCCCTAATGACTGATGATGTTGAGCATCTTTTCATGAGCTTGCTGGCTGTTTGTGTATCTTCTTTGGAGAAGAGTCTATTCAAACCCTTTGCCTATTTTTAAATAGATATATTTGTCTTTTTTATTGTTGTTGAGTTGTAAGAATTCTTTATGTATTCTAGATACAAGTCCCTTATCAGACATGTGATTCACAAATATTTTCTCACATTCTGTGGGTTTTCTTTTCACTTTATTGATACTGTCCTTTGACTCATGAAAGTTTTTCATTTATCTATTTTTTTCTTCTGTCATTTGTGTTTTTGGGGGTTCTATATGAGAAACCATTGCCAAGTCTAAGGTCGTGAAGTCAAATTTATTTATTCTTTGGTCATTTGTATTTTTTGGAGCCATATATGAGAAATCATTGCCAAGAAGATTTGCATCTGTTTTCTTTTAAGATTTTTATGGTTTTAGCTCTTACATTTAGGTCTTTGATCAATTTTAAAGATTTTTTTTTAGTGGGGAATTGGGGAAGGGGAACAGTTTTGGGGAATTGAGGAAGGGGAACAGCCAAGTTGTTATCCTTCAGTCTTAGTTGTGGAGGGCACAGCCAGCTCAGCTCCCAAGTCCAGTCACCATCCGGCTGCCCGTTGGCAGCTCGTGGCCACTCAGCTCAAGGTGCCGTGTTCAATCTTAGTTGCGAGTGGGTGTAGCCCACCATCCCATGCGGGAGTCGAACCAGCAACCTTGTTGTTAGGAGCACGTGCTCTTACCAGCTGAGCCACCCTGCCACATGTTGGCAGCGGTCTTTGATCAATTTTAAATTAATTTGTATATAGTGTGATGTTAGGGTCCAATTTAATTGTTTGCATGTGGATACCCATTTGTCCCAATGCCATCTTTTGAAATGACAATGACGTTTACATGTGGTGCAGGCAGAAGAATGGGCTCATTTTTAGCAAGGTGATGAGGGCATCACGTGGGTCATTACCTATAAATTTCTCTCCATCTCTCACTCAGAGAAGAACTGGCCTTAGCCCCATTTGAAGCAATTGCTGGTACTTGAAAACTCAAAGAAGAATACGCCAGGTAGAGATCCAGTGTTTATTTAAATTTTTGATAATTTGTTGATTATGAATATTTTGCATTAATTCTGATTTGTTAAAATATTGCATTAACATATTATTCATCTTGATTGCTGAGTTTTGGGACATTCCCTTCCTTACTTGCCTCACCCTAGTCCTAGCCCTACAGCGGCCTTGCTTTATAAAATTTTCTGGTAAGTTGTCCTTTATTAAGCTCACCTATTGCACACATTTTTTATATACCTTCTCAGGAATATAGATAGTATATAACAAAAGGTACAAGCCTCTATTTTCTTTTTTGGTGTTTTAAAGCCCACAGCTGCAATCATATGCCTCCAATGCCACAGGGTCAGGTCTCCAACTCCAAGACTGTTGTCAATTCTCACTCAGTTTGGAAAGCTCCTCTCAGCCAATGGGTATTCTTTATTCTGAAGAGAACTTTGTTTAACCCTGAGTGGGAATGAAATTCAAGTTATGTAAAAACAAACCTTTTGTGTGTTTTTTAAGTCTTGTGTTTTACTTTCATACCGGCCTCTGGTATTTATTCAAAGTGCTTTTTTAACAAACTGGTCTGACAGAAACTGATACTGCAGGAAGCAGGAGCTTAAAACAAACATATTTAAAAAAAAAAAAAAGCACTTAGGTTTAGCCTGTGAAGAGCTAAACAGTCTCCCAGCAAGTAAAACCCAGCTCTTTGAAGTAAGCATACCCACCTCCCTATCTTATCATTGAAAGGCCAACCCTGGCAGTGAGTCCCTGATTCCTTGTCCCAGGCTTCTTATTGTAATGATCCCTCCAACTTTAAAGCCAAGCCCGAGGTTCCAGAGATGCCAGGCTTCACTCTGTGCCATGCCCCCTCCCCATGGCCTGAGCCGGGGTTTCACAGTCACGGGTGGAGTAGAACAGTTGAGGTGGCGGGACACTCCCCAACTATCTGAGTGCTTGAGGGTGGTACACTGGGTTTTATCAAGCAGCAGGAAACAAGACAATAACATAATTTGTACTTATACTTTATTAAAAATAAAACAAAAACAAAGCTTAGGCTCTGCTTAGAGATCTCACAACTCGCCCACAGATACTCAACCAAGCGTTTACAGTGCCCAGGTCCCGTTCATTCCTCCTGCGTTCTCTCCCCTGCCGCAGCTCTCAGATTGTTTCATGTGCTGGTGCTGCCTGCAAACCCTTGGTATAGGGGACTCTGCTGGACCAGGCCTTAGTATGGGCCTACTGCATGTCCCCCAAACTACCAGGGTTCTGTCTCTGGCCTAGTGTGCATCCTGGACCTTTGACCATTTCCACCTTACATCTCCCAGAGCCCAAGCTGGTTTGAGTATCACAGGGGTGACCTTTGAAACTGGCCCCAAGCTGGGCCTGGAAGATGTCATCCAGACTCAGAACCAGCCTGGGGGATCGAGTGGCGCGGAGCTGGGTGCTGGAGCCCTGACAAGCACCAGGCTGGCTCTTCCCCTGAGGAGGAGCACACTGTAATGCCAGAGGCTGGGAGGTGGGCCTTTGGAATGGGATGACCTGTCAGATTAACAGCTACAACTAGGGGGAGCAGAGGGTCTCTTCACACCTCCTCTAAGCCAGTCCCAGTCTTTGGGTATGGCTTTGTCGCATACAAAACTGTTCAGAGAGGTCACAGAGCATTCTTGCTCTCTCCTGCTAATTCAGGATCTCACCCCCTGCAAAGTCCTCCATGCTCCTCACCTTAAATAATTCTGGATGCCCACGGGGAGTTTTTCTTGGGTCCTTATGATCAAGTCAGTTCAATTACAACATTGTGTCGCTGGACTCTGCTACCAGGGTCCTGCACTGTCACCCTGTGCTGCTGAAGTGCCAGGCAAAGTAGGGAGAGAACAGCGTCTCCCCGCTTTGGATTTTACTCTGTTAGTAGGGTGTAGGGGTCATGTGTTAGGCCAAAAAGTGCCCCCCTTCTAAAGATATCCACGTCAAATTCCTAGAACCTGTGAATGTAACCTTATTGGGGAAAACTGGGAGAAAAGGTCTTTGCAGATGTGACTAAGTTAAGGATTTTGAGAGGAGGCACTTATCCTGCATTATCCTACTTGGCCCTAATTGCAATACGTATAAGATAGACACACAGAGGAAAAGGCACAGACATACAGACAAGAAGGTGACATGAAAATAGATTTGGAATGGTGTGGCCACAAGCCCAGAAATGCCAAGGCAGCCGTCAGAAGATGAAAGAGACAAGGAATGGATTGTCTCCTAAGGCCACCAGAAGTGCAAGACAATAAATTATTTTGTGTTAAGCCACCCAGTTTGTGGTAATTTTTTATGGCAACCTCATGAAACTAACACAAAGAGTGTTACTTATGTTCTCTCACCGTCCCAAGAAGTTTCGTTTTGTTTTTGTTTTTTGATTGCACAGACTAGCTCAGCCTGGTTCCCTCCTTCTTCAGGAAGCGCTCTCTCCAAGGGGTTTCTCAGTCCCTCATGGAAGTCATGGAGACCTCAGATCACACCTATGGCATGTAATGACCTTGATGGTGGCAGGAGCTTAAGCTCACATTAGAAATAACATGATCAACATGAATGCATACACACAATGTACAAAGCTTGTCTGCCAGTGTTCCTAACAGAGTCAAATGCATATGGAGAGCAGGGAAAACTTTTCTTTTTAGAGGGCATGAAATGAAATTCCATTCCAAACTGCATCCCAATTACTCTTCAGCTTCTTGAACGGGTCTTCATTGCCTAAAACATTATCTTCTTCAGTGTCAACAAGATGCTAAAGACTACTGTGAAAATCTTTGTTATGTTGACAATTTGTATGGTACATAGTATTGTCTTCATCTGGAGAACCAGTTACCTCAGAGTACAGCAATTTTTATTTTATTTTATTATTTTAAAGATTTTATTGGGGAATTGGGGGTGAAACAGAATTGGGGAATCGGGGAAGGGGAACAGACAAGTTGCTGTCCTTTTATTTTTCAGTCTAGTTGTGGAGGATGTTGCTTCACTGGCCCATGTTGGTATTATCGTTACACTTCTCCCAGGTGAGGCAGTCACTCACTGGCCATTGGATGACCTCTCACAGCAGCTCACAGCAGCTCATGCCAGCTGCCAGCCACTCAAAGGAGCTCACAGCAGCCCACTTCAGCAGGGGCTGCAGCCTACGCCTTCGCCGTCAACTCATGGCAGCCCAGCTCCAGGTCAAGCTGCTGTTCACCATCTTAGCTGTAGAGGGCGCAGCATCACTGGCCCTCATGTTGGATCTGAACTGGGGCCTTGCTGCTCAGAGCTGGCGTCCCAAGCCAACTCTTAACCAACACACCACTCAGCAATTTTTTAATTTTTTATTTATTTTTTATTTTTTTAAGATTTTATTGGGGAGTTGGGGGAGGGGAACAGTGTTGGGGAATTGGGGAGAGGGACCAGCCAAGTTGTTGTTCTTCAATCTTCATTGTGGAGGGCGCAAGTCGCCATCTGGCTGCCCTTTGGTAGCTCATGGCCTCTAAGCTCAAGGTGCTATATTCAATCTTAGTTGTGGGTGGCCATAGCCACCATCCCATGCGGGAATCGAACCTGGCAGCCTTTTTGTTAAGAGCACATGCTCTATCCACTGAGCCATCCGGGCGGCAGCTCAGCTCAAGGTGCCTAGCTCAGTCTTAGTTGCAGGTAGGCATAGTCCACCACTGAAGAGGCATGCTTGTTGTTACACCATCTGAGCCATTCTGCCACCTATTGGCAACTCAACTCAGGGGCAGTGTCACTGGCCCATGTGGGAATCAAACCAGCAACATTGGTGTTATGAGCACTGCGCTCAACCAACTGAGCCAACTGGCCACCCCTGTGTCTGTCTTCTTTTGCTCAACATCATGTTGTGAGATTCTGCCATATTAACAGATATAATTTATTCATGCATTTATTGTCATTGGTGCTTAATATTCCATTGTTATGCACACTGTTTTTGCAACTTGCTTTTGTATTGTTTTGTATCTGCATATTAAGTATCCTTATTATGCTTTCTTTGTGTTAGTATTGATATTCCATTATGTAAATGCAACATCGTTTTATTTTTTTTACTTGTCCCATAGATGGAGATTTAGTAGCAACCTATTTTAAAAACTAATACCTGCTTCCAAAAAGAAAACAGGGACTAACTTCATACTACTCTTAGTACACTAGTAAAATATTTTCCAATGAAAAAGTTATGTAAAAAATATATTTTATTAAAAAAAATGCATATACAGAGGGTGCCAAAAAGATTCACACATTTTAAGAAAGGAAAACTATTAAAATTGTAATACTCAATATATACCAATAACAAAAGATGAATACAAGTCACGTTTGACTTCTGCAATTACAAGAGGTGCTCAAAGTGGTCACCCTAAGCATCCAGACACTTCTGATTACGGCCAACTACTGCTTGAGCAACATTGACTAAAGTGTCCACTTGTGTACATTTTTGGGCACCTGGCATATATTTACTTATAATAATAAATTTATTTGTTTTTACAGAGAAACCAGATTCAGTAAACTTTCACAAAGGCATAAAAGCAGTGTGAATGAATCTGTGGTTTTGGGGAAGGGTGGATGGACAGGGTGGTACAGAGCCTGAAAAACAAGTTAGTCCTCCTGATTCCACAGCATCCTGGACCAATTCCAGGGCCATTTGCTTTTCCTGCCAAGCCTAATGGTTTTCAAATTTCTGCCATTGAAAAACTAAGAATAGAAAAAATTTTGATATACCTCCAGCTAATGAAGAAAAGTAGAAATTCTTCCTCTGTAGTTGGGTCGTAAACATTTCAGCAGCAGCATGAAGTGTAATTGTCCCAGGTAACATTGATAACATATTCTAATGCTTTGATGGCAGTGTGGGAAACAACTGAGTAATTTAATAGTGAGCTTATGCTTTAAGCACAAAGAATTATTGTGGAATCAAATGTTCATTTCTGAATTAAGTTGTCAGTTGCTCTCAAAGTACCTGCTCTTAAAGTCATTAACAACCAATGTGCTTTAAATTTTTTCTTGAGA